ATTGACACACATATATATATATATATATTATAATTTTTATAGGAATAGATCAAATTATACTGATGTAACTTTTATCAACTATTATATTGATACTAATTTATATAAATCAAAATCTACATAATATATACTCTTTAAAATATACAAAAATATAAATATCTTAATTATCTTATTATTATAACAAAATGTAATATAAACATTCAAGGTAATATAAAGTTATAATTTAACGGTTGGAACGACAAAATTCAATATTTATATAGTTATTGACTAATATTATAGTTGTAAAAGTTATACCAATGTAATTTGATCTTCTCAAATTTTCATGCGTTACAATTGTAACTTGTATGTTTTTGAGTTTTCTGTTAGAAATTTTATTTCTAATAATTATTGTGGGCTACATATATTATTTGTAGTATTTATATTAGTTATTTACATTTAGTTGGGTTCAATAAAAGTTATCTAATTTTAGTGAGCCTTTAGACTGCCAACAGGAAAAAACTGATATGGCCCAAATAAGTGGAAACCAGATTTGGCCCGTTAGGGGTTAATAGGAACCCTAATAGGTTTAAAATCATAAAGATGGTCATGGTCCCCAATATGCCAAATCAGAAACACACGTCTCTCTGTCTCCCCATCAAAAGAGTAACATCAAGTCCCATCAAGGAATCCAGTGATTTGGCTGAGGAAGATATCATTGCACCAAAAGACTATTCCGCTGGAACCTTTTGATCAACGTCAATGGATACAGGTACGTATTATTTACATTAACTCTGTAATCTGAGACAATGGTTTTTAATATTAATTAATGGATAATTTCTATTTGGCTTAAGAAATTTATCCCAACAAGTGGTATCAGAGCCGCTGTTGTTATTAGGTTGTGGGGTTCTAAAGTGTATTGTTACAATTTATTTTTTCTCTTCATTGATAATACGTGTATTTGAATGCGTTGGTCATTTTTTTGCTTCAATTTGGTTTAATTGATTATATTGATAAAGAGATCGATTAAAAATTGAATTTTTATTAAAGAGAATTTTTGTGAAATTGTATAATTTTCTGTGAATGTTATAAATTTGTATATGTAACAATTTTGCAATGATCCTGAAGACATTGTCAAATGTAGAAATTTTTTTATTTTTTTTAATTTTCTCACCGGAAGTGAGATAATTGTGCAACAATGCAATAAAGGAATATTTTCTCACCAGAAGTGAGTTAATTGTGCAACAATGCAATAAAGAAATATTTTCTCACCAGAAGTGAGTTAATTGTGCAACAATGAAATAAAAGAATATTTTTCTCACCGGAAGTGGGAAAATAATATTATGTTTGATCCTTTGAGTACCACCAGAAGTGAGATTTTTTTTCTTTTTTTTTTGTCAAAATCATTGTTGTTATATTAAATGATATTTGGGAAAATTATATAATTAATATATATTGAATTCCACATTATCGTTTTTTTTAATGGCATTCGCGTAAGAATTATTTTCTTGAAATTTGATTGATATTATGTTCAAATTTAAATTGATATTTTTTTATATATCAAATTTGAGTGCGAATGTTAGCAGATTATAGACCCTCTTTATTAATTAATTTGTCTGGTAATTTTTAATTAAATAAATTGATGTAATATATTGCCAAAGCAATCCCTGTTATAGAAATTAATTTGATTAAAAATTACAATAGATGTTAGTATGAGATTATTTATGCGATTTGTGATCATCCCAAAGGAAGACACAATTTGGCCAAATAATAACATGCCTGTGATGATAAATATGTGACAATTATAAAGTTACAATCATGTAAATAATAGTCGGTCCAAAGAAAGGCTATTATTTGACAGAATTAATTGTCAATATTTGATCGTTGCACTGAGAGTACCACTAACAAGTTAATTTGTATGTCCAAAGACAAAGAATTCATGTTGTGCTCGGTATCTTGTAATGAGACTATTATGTAAATAATCTGCATGCTTTATTTATTTTATTTTACTGTGAGCATGTAATTAAATTTTTTTTTTAATCTATGTTCTATTACAGTTGTTGTTGCTAGTGCTGTTAACTTATCTGCTCAAATTAATTGTATACCTATGCTTAATGGGACAAACTTTAAGGCCTGGAAGGAAGCAGTTGAGATAATTCTTGGCTGCATGGATCTTGATCTTGCACTTCGGGCTGAGAAATCCACTCCAAATCCGGAAAACCTGGACGAGGATAAGGTTGAAAAGTGGGAACGCTCAAACCGAATGTGTTTGATGATCATGAAGCGATCTGTTCCAGAAGTTTTTCGGGGCTCTATTTCTGAGAGCCATAATGCTTAGGGTTTCCTTGATGCTGTTGAGCAGTATTTCACCAGTAATGAGAAAGCTGATGCAAGCAGTTTGCTTGCTAAACTTATTGAGATACAAAGGTAAAGGAAACTCTCTAAAGATACGATTTGATAAGATGGTTATCTATTTTCGGAGGAATAAAATATATTAAAATCTAAATTGTATTTTGAATTTATAATAAACAATTGAACTTGTGATATAATATTATATTTTAATTATTGATAATTTTTTTAAGAAAAAATATTGAAATTCAATTTAGTGATAGGATAGAAAAAGAGTAGGTTAGAGAAACAATATATGAAGATGAATTACATAGATAAAAAAAAATAAAAAAGAGTATGGTTGGAAGGATATTTTTTTTTTACTCGTTGTGAGATAGTGTTATTGAATGAAATGCTCAAATAGAAGAAAAATAGTAACAATAATATCAAGTTGAGAAACTAAGAAGAATGAGAATTTCACCATTCAAATTATCTATTTTAATGATTTGATTTATAATATATATATATATATATATTG